TACCAACCGTTTGTACTAAAAATACCTAACTAATATATTAGAGGCTATATGTAGTGTAGGCATAAGAAATAAGAATTGATAAGAATATAAAGAGATATGGATAAGAACATTAAAAGTATGTTTATCTTGATTTAAGTTGCTTAAAGTACATAACTTTTTGTAGGAAATAAGAGTACTGTAATATTAAGAATTCTTATAGGAAATAAAACCATAATCGTCCAAATAACTATTTTTTTTAAGAAAAAATGATTTATTAATTGAAATTAGTTACTTTTCTACCTTTTTTTAGTGATAACAATTCCTATCGGATTAAGAATTGATATATCTTAGTATGATTGATATATCTTATCGGACTAACAATTCTTATCGGACCAATCATATAATATAGGAAATAAGAATTGATATAAATCCAAACAAAAAAGGAGCAAGTTACGTAAGAAACTACTTGTCGTCTCGTTAAGCCACGTAGGAAAGAGAAAATATGAAGCGATAAGGATGAGAATACGATTTTATTATATATATATATATATTGGTTTCCTTTCTTGGGAGTTTTGCAAACGTACTTCTGAATGCTTCTGGCATTTTTGCAAGTAATACGTCTTCATCTCACCAAGAAAGGAAAGAAACGGCAAAGGACATGGCAGATAGATCCTATATTCCTAAGACGACTTGTTTTTGAGTGTTGTTTTTTCACTTTGAATATAAAACTCCAAAAATTTTGTTAAAAGCATATTTTGGAGCACAGATTTGTATACACAATTGATTAAATTAAAGCATACACCTCCATTTATTGTCTCGTTACCTTTAGTAAATTTTTTATTTAAAAGTGTTATTTTTAGTTTCGTCAAAAAAAAAGTGTTATTTTTAGAAGAGTTTCTAAAAATTATAACATTTTTTTGGAAAGTGCTATATTTGAATTTCTAATTTTTTATAGGATTTCTTGGAATGTGACATATGTGTGATTAAGAATGTGATTAAAACACGTGTTAAATAATTATTTTTTAATAAAGAAAAACTTGTTAATGAGGGGTTTAATCGATAGCTTTTCTAAAATATTTTTTAACAATAAAAAAAAGGCTGTTCAAGAGCCTCAATTAGACGAAGCTGTGAAAGAATGCCAGACGGACAAAAGAAAGGACAATTTGGACTTTCCATGCACTTAGATAAGAATTAATGTAAATAGCTATTGTTTCCAGTCTGTGGGAAAAAAAAATCCAAATTATACTTCCAAAATTCGAATAAAAGTCAAATCCCGTTTGGAAACGAATTAAAATGTATGAATTGACTTATCTATATCGTTTGGAAACGATTAAAATGTATGAATTGACTTATCTATATAGTAATTTGAAAAGAAATTCTCCACTTGTATGCATCATATTCATTGTCTAAGAAAAAACAATTCTTGGGTTTGTACTTTTTATTCTCTTTTTCTTCCCAATACATGTAACTCAATAACTTCACTCCATTATCTGAAGCTACACGAATCCATTAGCCCATCTGCTCATCATCTTCTCTCTTCGGTAGCCATGTCTTTCAGCAGAGCCACGTCTTTCAGCAGGGGGGTAAGATCTCAATTTAGCTGATTTTCAGTTTTTTTTTTTATTCTTTTAACTTTTTATTCTACTGATCTTGTGTTCCGATTTGTAGCATGGATCAAAATCTTATGTTTATCTGATGTATAAAGTATTGCAGCTAAAGGTTAAATCTTTTTTTTTGATTTAATAGTTGGGCTCCCTTTGTTTTTTTTTTTTTTTTTCCTTTTAAAGAAGAAATTGGGTCTGAGTATCTGGATTGGAACTTTTGAGCTTGGTTTTGTGTGCTACTTAGTGGGTTTTTGCTAATTATTGAGTGAAGTAAATTCCTCCAAGATAGTTTTGACCCCAAAAAAAAAAAATCCTCCAAGATCTCGGTTATTTGTGTTAATAGAGAAGAATATTTTTTTTATTGTATTTCTGTGCTTTATTCATCTGAGTGATGGTTTTAGAGTTTTCTGTGTGATAAATCTCTTGATCTTGGAAGTTTTTGATCTGATGTGTCTGTATGTGGGTGTGGTCAATATGTGAATATGTGATGTACCATGTATTATAGAAGCTCAGTTTTGATGGTACTCGTTATTAGTATTCATGAGGATTTTTGACTGGAATTCTTCTGTAATTTTGGATCATATGTTTTAGTTTGTGATTGAAGACATTGGCATGTTATTGGGGATGAAATGGTCCCTCCATGTATGTGGAATTCCTGGAGTTGGGCCTTTAAGCTGAAGTTGTTGGAGAAAGATCACTAATCTACTACATTTTGTATGATTTTTGCTGTTTCTGGTTTCAAGGTTTCAATGTTTGGGATCATAAAACTCAGGATGAGTTTCCTTGGTTAGTGCTATAGGGTCTTGAGAATATCTGGGCAATAATCTCTTTACTGTTGTTTTTGCTGTAGTTTATACTCTTCCAGTGGAAGGATAACTAACTCCATATGAATTGGGAACTTTCTGGAATTTTCAAACTGTTATCTTGATGAGTGCTTCAATCTGTAAGCGTAAACTTCTCACAAAAATGAAGTATCCAAAACAGTGTCAACATTTTTGGTTTTTCAGCTCTGTTGCGTGCTTTGTGAAGATGGAGATTACTTAAAGAAGCATTACCTTTGATTTCCCTTATTATTGCCTTTGTAATTTGCGACAACTTCTTGAGTTTTGTGTGGTGAAAGGATGAATCCTGCAAAAGGATGCAGCTGTTGGTTTTCCATTTGTGTTCACAAAATTACATCCTAATGCTTGGATTTCCAATTTACTCAAGTCTCATTTCTTCTTGGTGCAAAAGCATGATTATTATTTTACAATTTCAGCCCAATGCATCATCTGGCATGGGTGTTGCTGAACATTGCAAAAGCACATACCTCGAATTGCAGAGGAAAAAGGTGCACCGCTATGTGATTTTCAAGATTGATGAGATGAAAAAAGAAGTGGTGGTTGAAAAAACTGGGAGCCCATCTGAGAGCTATGAAGATTTCACTGCATCTCTACCTGAGAATGATTGCCGATATGCAGTATACGACTTTGATTATGTTACTGCAGAGAACTGTCAAAAGAGCAAGATATTTTTCATTGCATGGTCAGTTTTAACTTATATGCGAGGTGTTCATTTTTTCTCGTCTGAAAGTTCTGTTGTTCATGTTTCCTTTAAAGAACGCTGAATCAAGAAACACCAGTCAGTTGATAATTTTAACATTAGCTCCATAAGAGTTCTCATCTTTCCGTCCTGTCCTTGCATTGCTGATTTATGTTCTGTTTCTGCTTTTATGTAGCCCTGAAAAGTTGTGACACTGGATAAGGAATTGTCCACGCCTAAGCATTAAATAGAAGATGCTGACTTGTATTCCGCTGTCTGCTATCTGCTTTCACATAAAGATTTGTCAGATAGTGGATAATGAATTATTGACATCTAGGCTGCATGTTGATCTAGAATCTCTCTCTCTCTCTCTCTCTCTCTCTCTCTCTCGGTGATGAACAGACTCTCACACTTAATAAACATTCTGTATTCGTTTATCAGTTGTCGTCGTTGACATCATCTGCAAATTCTATGTACTCTATACTTTACTTGCTCTGTGTTTAGAACTAAGAGTATTGCTCCACACTGCTTCTGGATTCTAATTAGCGTTTCTGATTGGACCAATCATTTTCCTTGGACTGGATTGAGTCCTGCCTTAGTAGGAGAAAAGTCTTCTAATTGTCAAAGCTGTTTCTTATTTTTTTTTTCTTAAGCTGCTGCAGAATGATTATTAGAGGCTTTTGAAGTTTGCTCATGAGTAGCTATTTCTTATTTCTTTTTCATGCTGATGAATGATAAATAGAGCTTTTTAAGTTTGTTCATCAGTGTTCTCTACATGTGCTACGTTAGAAACTTAGCATACACCATCTAGTTACTAGAGAACACGATATGGTGCTTGACTTTTGTTTTTCAGGTCTCCATCTGTGTCCAGGATCCGTCCGAAAATGCTGTATGCCACATCTAAGGATAGGTTCCGAAGGGAGCTGCAGGGTATCCATTATGAGATCCAGGCCACTGATCCTACTGAAATGGAGCTTGATGTTCTCAGAGAACGAGCAAATTAAACCACACCCTTTCTATTTCTCAAGGGCTTCTTTCTACCTCTGGGAAAATTACTCATGTCATTTTAACTGTAAGACGGGTTGTGCTTTAATCATTAATGTTGTGCAGAACCTGTTTCTGACAACATATAGGCTCATCATAAATAATCGTTTCCCTGGGAAGGCTGATTAGGAGCTCTTACATATTGTATCCCAACCTATGGGGATTATTGGGGTTCCTCATTTTCATGATGCTTCTCAGATGGAAGATGGGTATGGTTACTGATTATATAATATTACTAGCATTACTTTGTACTTTATGAAACGGCGTTGGCTTGTTTAATTCTTTGTCGGGTGGTTCCTGGAAATTTACTTCGCAAATGAAAATTGTGTGTTTTGGTTTCACAGCAGTTTTGTATACAAAGCAATTGGGCTACTTCCAGTGGTTAAGAGCTGGCCTTGCATTATAACAGGCGTTGGTTTTAACAATAATATATGCAAAACCACTGAAAGTCAAGTGGCTAATACTCCCTCCCTTTTTTTATAACTGGCGTTTAAGGTTTTGCACACCAATTAAGAAAAGTGTTTTATTGCTTAAATTTGTACACTATTTTTTTTTTGTACCCTCATTAATTGTCCAATTCACTCATATTTTTTCTCACTAGAGTACTAAATGGTGCTGTTTTACTAGGCTAAAGCCTAAAAGCAATGTAAATTAAATGGAGTAGTAATTAAGAATCTTGTATTGAAAAAGAGAGATAAAAGGGTAAAATTGTAAAAAAATAATTAATATTATATGAAAATAATAAAACGACAAATAAAAGTACACTGACCAAATTTTTTAAACGTCAGTTCTAACAAGTTTTTCCATCTTTACCGTTATCAAACTGATGCATGGTCTAATTTGTACAATACAGAGTACTGATTGCCTTTAAATGGGATCCAACCTTATCTACCCTTGTCTTATTTACCAAACAAAAGAGAGACTTCTTGATTCTGACATACGAGGAAGAAATGACTATGCAAAAAAGTTATAAGCAAGCCAGATGCTGAACAGCATATTTCAATTTGCAAGACTATACGCTTGATGACAGAGAGAAATGACAGGACCTGTTGTTGATCCTGCTCTTTGAACCATTCGTGATTTACTAGATGATGAAGAAGTCAAGTTCTTATCTGGAGTCAATAGCCAAGTTAAAGATGTGCAAGCAGAGCTCAAGCAAATGCAGTGTTTCCAAGAGGACGATGATAGGATAAAATATGCAAAGCGTCCAAAATTTCGTTAAAGAAATCAAGAAGCTTTCTAATCGGATTGAGGATGTTGTGGAAACATATGCAGCTGAGGTTATACTGAAAAGAAGAAAAATGGGAATAGAGGACTATCTCAATCGAGTCGCTAAAAATGGTTGAGAAAAACTTGTGCTCATGGAGTGGAGGAACGTTTTGTCGGGATGGAAGAGGAGATAAGTGCGTTGGCACCAATGTTGCTTGATGATGATAGGAAATACAGAGTTGTTTCAATTTGTGGAATGGGCGGATTGGGTGCATGATTCTCGGTCGCGGGAACTTGTAAACTTGGCGTTCTTCAGTAGCAAGTTGTAACTTATATGGCAAATAGTATAAATTCACCCTTCATTGAGTGGTGATGATTGATGGCCTGGTAACAAGCTTCATCCCTCTTTATGAACCATAATATAAGAACTGCAACATAGGTATATTCCTCTTTTCTTCTTTGCACCAGGAAATAACGATAATCTCGTACATTACCCCATTCTAACCTGAATTATTCTCAACTCCAAAGCTACCTGCCTCCCTCATTGATTTTTCATGTTTCTTCTGAAGATCATCTCCAAAGTTCAACCGTGAACCATAATTGAGGTTAGCATTTACTCTTTCGGGCCCTTATTGCAACAGATGTTCAATTTCTGCCCAGCATCCCACCTCTATCACTATGACCTACTGCTTGTGGTAGCATCTTAATCTTTTTCTGCTCATAAGTCAGATGCTAGACTGAGCATTGGAATTCCAAGAACTAGGGGGATTTTTCTAACCAGTGGGTAATGACAGTGACTCTGAACGAGTGCCTAATGACAATGCCTCATTTTGAGCTGGATGAAGCTGAATCAATCAAGGAGCAACTTCAAATTAAGGGAAGAGGGGTGGGCTCATGTAGACTGTAGAGTTGCAGGCAGAGAATCGCTCTATAATCAGGAAGCTCATCTCTCAGAATAGTGATAGCTGTGCACTATTAACTACTATCCTTGAAGATATTTTAGGCCTCAGTTCTCTGTTTCTTGTATGGTCAAAAAATTATGGGTACCTTGTAGAATAACATTAGATTGTATAGAATAAGTAGTGTGCATAACTAAAAAATCTTGATTATCACATATCTTGATTGCTCAGAGGTTAATTATGCTCCAAAATTTACATATTCAAAGCTAAACAATGCGGCAGTACCATACATACTAGTTTTAATTTGTAGGAGTACTATTCTTTGATATGGATGACAATGGGGTGGATTTGGAGCGGGAAGCCATATATCTCCCCTTGCCCGGCATTTCCCCGCCCCCTGGCCCCATCGTTCCCCTTGCACGTTGTGGGCATCCGTCCCAATTGCCATCGAAGAACTAGTCAACAAAGTGCAGCTGAAGATTTAAAGCTCGTGTAACATGTAACTCTTCCAAAAAAAAAAAAAAAAATCAATTTTGTGATATCGATTGTTCCGCACTCAAGAAAACAATTAATGGCAGAAAATGTAGTCAATCTAGCTTTGGAAACCCTTAGGGAATTATTAGTTCAAGGATTGAGATTCTTATCAGGAGTTGGCAGAGAAGTGAAGGAAGTTCAATCCCTGCAGCAGCGGATGCAGTGTTTCCTGGAGGACGTGGATAAAAGGAAACATGAAGAGTGCAGCGTCCGTAATTATGTAAAACAGATCAGGGATCTGGCCTATCGGATTGAGAATATTGTCGAGACTTATGCTGCTAAAGTTGCATCGAAAAGGGAAAGGAAGGACATCTGCAGCATGCTCAAAAGATTTGCTTGTATGCTAAGAGAATCCACAAGCCTTCACAAGGTTGGTTCCCAGATTGCAGATATCAAAACAGAGATCAGCAACCTCACAGCGAGCATGGAATCTTTTGGCATAAAAGCTGCAATGGAAAAGGAGAGTTCGGATGCAAGAAATGAAAGAAGAAAATGATTGAGGCAAAGGTACGCCCACGATGTTGATGAAGACTTTGTTGGGATGAAAAAGGACATCAATCATCTGGTATCGCTAATGCTTGATCATGACAAGAGGGATGCTCGAGTTGTTTCAATATATGGGATGGGTGGCTTAGGAAAGACAACTCTTGCCCGAAAAATCTACCACCACCGGGATATTCAACGCAGTTTCAAAGGCTTTGATTGGGTTTGTATAACCCAAGATTGCAAATCCATGAACGTACTACAAGATATCCTGAAGCAGCTTGCTCCAGAAAAGAAAGAAGAGATTTCTCGAATGGGAGAGAGGGAAGTTGTGGAGGAGTTTTCCAAGGTGCAGAAAGTGAAAAGTTGTCTAGTTGTTGTTGATGACATATGGAGGGTGGATGATTGGAATAGCCTTAGACCTGCCCTCCCAATTGCTGAGGCAAGCCTCAGCAAAATTTCCTCTAGGTATCAGAAAAGTTTCAGTTTTTTTGGGGGTCTGGATATATTTCAATGCTTCAAAGCTTGTAGAACTAGGTAATGAAACGTTAGTGAATGAGAATTGTCAGTTCATTAGCATTAATTTAGGCACTTTGATGCAGGTCATTTCTACACTAAGCAGTAATTCTGTCAACCACAAATCTGCCACTAGATAAAATACCTGTACAGTGGCAACAATTTGCTGCATTGTGGACGTCCCATCACGAAAACATTTCGCATTTAGCGATTCAATTAAATTAATTAATCTTTTAAACAACCTATTTTCAGACTCAAGAATTGAACCAAAGCTCGTGGAAGAATTGGGAAGAGAAATGGTGGCCAAATGTGGACACTTACCTTTAGCAATCTCTGTCATTGGAGGCATTTTGCGTGAAAAGAATTGCTTAGATGGTTGGAAGAAGGTGCATAAAGGCATTGATTCGTACTTAAGGAGGAGCGAAAGCAGTGAAAGATATCAAGCAATAGATCAAGAATTGACCTTAATTTATGATGACTTGCCTTATCATTTGAAACCATGCTTTCTTTATACGTGCCATTATCCAGAAGATAAAATGATACAAGCAGAAGAATTGTGTTTGTGTTGTGTTGGATGGCAGAAGGCATAGTTTCATCAAGGGATCAAGGAAAAGAAGAAGCACTGATGGATGTAGCAGAACGCTACTTCAATGAACTGGCGAGCAGATCTTTGGTGCAGGTGCAAGCGGATGAACAGTTTTCAGGATCAATGCAATTTTGCCGCCTACATGACCTTATGCGAGAGCTATGTCCGGCAAAGAGTGAAGAAGAAGAGTTCTTCCAGATGATGTCTCTTCGAGATGGAAAACCACATTCACAGAGGCCTCATTCTTTCAATTCTAATACTCCGCGAAGATTGGTGATTTACAAGGATCATTCATTTGATTATAATGTCATACAGGAATCTGCTCAACAACTTCGATCCCTTCTGTTATTCAGCTCTCACTGGGTAGATGATCTTTTGTTACCAAGTGAGTAGATGAAACTAAAGTTTCTTAAGAGTTCTTTACCTTTTCAGGTGTCCGTTTCAATGAACTACCTCAACGTTTTGGTAGCTTGCTCCATTTGAGGTTTCTATGCATAAAAGACTGTGGAGTGAAAGAGTTGCCATCATCCATCTGCGACTTGCCATTCTTACGGACCCGTGATCTTAGAGATGATATAACCAATGAGGGTGACTGTGCATTACCCAATGCTTCGTGGAAATTGAAGCAACCTTTATCTTAATCGGAAGTATCATGCAGTAGGAGGAGAAAAATTGACATTGCCTGGCCTGGATAAGTTGGAGACATTGGAAGGATTTGCATGTGAACACATGGAAATTTCAGATCTTTATATCATGAAAAATCTGCGATATCATGCAAAAGTTAATGGAAACGAGAGCATCTCCAAGATGATCAACTACATTGAGGCTGCTAAAGACTTACGTGTCCATCTAAGTTCAGACGCAGGTTTTGTTCTTCTCAAAAAGCTTTTGATGAATTGCAACATTTATGAGTTAAGTATACATGCATCTAGTGCTCTGTGCGGCAAATTACCCAAGCAAGCATCTCGTTTGTGTCCAAGTCTCCAATCTTTGACCTTGTCAGGCTGCGAAATTGGGGATGATCCAATGGAAGCTCTGGAGAGGCTTCCCAATCTAAGAATATTGAAGCTGGGAATGCTGTCCTTTGTTGGAAAAAACATAATGGTTTGTCATGCCAGTGGCTTCCCTCAACTCGGGCATCTTTTCATTGACAATATGCCTTACTTAGAAAACTGGACGGTGGAAGAAGGAGCCATGCCACATCTTTCTACTCTAACCATTTGGGATTGCAACAAGTTGTTGAGTTGGATAGGTTATGTGCCAATTAGTGTTTAATGAATATGTTTATTCCGTTATTGATCCCTCAAAACCTAAATCAATTCCAAAACTTGGCCTTGATGCCTTTTATAGATGAAATAATATGTTAGTTCTTCTATATGTATTGTAATTGTTTATAGAAAAAAATTTTAAAAAACCACATTTGCATATATATATATATATATATATGTGTGTGTGTGTGTGTGTGTGTGTGTATTTGATAAATAAAATTTTGAGTTGACGTAACATTTTTTTTAGAGGCAGTGCTCCGTCCTCATCAATGAAGTTGACATGTATTGTAACTTGATAATATTTGAGGCGGCAATGATTTTAACAATTACAATGAATATGTATGAATATGATTGGGACAAATGATGGTGAGGATCACTCCAATTTAATTTTATATGATAAAAAATTTTTTAAATATTATTTTACTTGTATCAAAAATAAATTTACTAATTAACTTTTATTTTTTAATAATTGATTTATCTTATATATGTCATATTACAAAAATTATTATAATAATTATTTCAAATAATTACTTGAAATAATCTCCTATCCAAATACAGCATCAATTAGCAATGATTCAATGATTTTGTTTGGATAAGAGTTTATTTGGATGATTTATTCGAGATAATTACTGTAGCACTTTTTGTGATGTGATGTATGTGAGATAAAAAGGTGATTAAAAATATAAAAAAATGATTGAGATTTGTGAAGTAAATTATTTTATTTCAAATTATCTCAATCCTCCTCATCCTACAGTAAAAGTACACAATAATGAATTATACAATTTACAGTGCTTTGACAAGGAATGTACAATTATTTTGGTGGTGAGTGGGGGCTTATCTTAATCTTTTTGTGCAATCCTCATAGGCCAGTAATAATGCAGTCAATCTCGGCTACATTCATCTTCATGTTGTCCCCACACAGCCCAGAAAAAAGGGATAATTTCGAAAACCTCCTCTAAGGTTTTTGATAATTTCATCTAGTTAGGTTTTGAAAATTACACATATCTCCCTCCAGGTTATTATTTTGGAAACAAAATTTTATTAATGGTCATATTTTTGAATAAAAATTACACATACCTGCCTTCAAATTAACATTTTGGAAACAAAGAATGAACGAATAATCCAAAATGCTCTCGTGAAATTGTGAAGTTTATTTTACTTTTTATAAAATTCTTAAAAAGTTTGAAATCTATATTATTTCACAAACCCACTTTCGACTCTGATTACTACTATTTTAAACCTTCCATACCCCCACATTCCAAATCAACAGCACTATCTCCGTGACTAGCATCATTATTAGTCCCTAAATTTCAAAACTTCAATCTAAAAAAAAATCAGCACCATTAAACTAAAAAAAATTTCATCAAATGCATTAATATAACATCCTATTCTTCAAATATTGAAGCATCAACACCAATTCCATGCTTTTTAAACCTTTAACCCGCATCTTTTCCTATTCAATTGTAGATTCTCCAAGCAAAATTAAAATATAACTGTGTGAAATGTATTCATTGCATAAGATTATGAACTGATTATTTAATTGCATGAAAATATTGATATTTTAAGATTATTATGGTCATTTTACATGGTTAATGGAGGTAAGTGTAACGTTAAAAACAAAGATAACCATACTAGCTGAAATTATAAGAAATCTCGAGATGCTTTCTGAAATTATCCCAAAAAGTCCACAAAAAGCTTGGCAGATTCCTCTGGAGGACTGACAAAGTTGCACCGAATCAGTATACAGTCAAAAATCTTGATTACTTTGCTTTTCTCTCTCCAAAATCTACCTTGATAGTTACTGCTGTGCGGTTGTTTAATAATTTCCTATTCTAGTTGTTACTTGTGGTCCTCTGGATAACATTGTTTAATGTTAATATGATCCCCCGAAGTAGTCATGTTGATTTGTCTTGATTTCATGCCCTTGAGTGTTTTGATCACAGCCCCCTTCTGCTCTAATCTTTTAAGACTGTGTCAATAGCTCTTCATACTCCATTGGGTTATCTCTGGTAGGTGATTCTTGATTGATTAGTCCTCCAAGCTTTGATCTTTTTGTCATAGTTTCTGGATTAGCAATATAGCCATGCATATGGATTTTATGTCTGAAGTCTGATGAAATTGCATGAAAAGTGGAAGTATATTCAGTTAATATATCAAGCTATGTGGAGTAATTGAGAATTTGAGATGATGATCAAGATCTGAACTTGAGAGTAGGAGGTCAAGTCTACTGCTTTCTGAGTGGAACTGTAGTGGGATTCTTGTGATTAGTGATAATCGTTGCACGGATGTAGAGGAGCTGGAATCTTGATGAGGTTCCATAACTTAAGGGGTTTTCTGAGAAACAGTGTTGTTTAGAAACCATTGATTTTTTTCATAAGTCCAATTTCAGGGATCCGAGGAACTATGGATGGTAAGGCTAAGACCATCGTGTGGTTTAGGAGGGATTTGAGGATTGAGGATAATCCTGCCTTAGCTGCTGCTGCTAGAGATGGTTGTGTTTTCCCTGTTTTTATATGGTGTCCTAAAGAAGAAGGTCAGTTTTATCCTGGTAGAGTGTCAAGGTGGTGGCTAAAGCAGTCTCTCATCCAATTGGAACAGTCATTGACATCCCTTGGGGCTAAATTGGTGCTGATCAAAGCTCAGAGTACTTTGGAAGCTCTTTTGGAATGCATTGGTGCTGCTGGGGCAACGAAAGTAGTTTATAATCATCTTTATGGTAAGCCATTGTTCACTGCTTTTTTACATTTCCAATTTGTGCTTATTCCTTGATTTATGAAGCATAGAATCGGAAGCTTGAATGCCCTTTTGTCGGTTTATGGTATTCTTCTGGGACTTCTCCTCTTTAATTTATGGCTACTAAATAGCTAGATTAGGATAATAACGAGAAGATGCTGTATATTTGCAAGAGAAGGCCAATATAGATCATACATCAGAAGTTTGGGGCAAGAGATAGATATACAGCACCTACATGTATTCCCGCACAGTGTGAAATTAGGATGGGTGACAAATTGAGTTAGAACTGGCAGCTTAGAGTATCTATGGTATTAGACAAAGGAAGATGCCTGAAGTGCATTTAAATCTTACTTTCAAATGGCTGTAACTTCTGGAGTTGGGGCAGTTCGACAGGCCAGCACATGGGTCAAGAGTACCCTAAACATTGCATGCAAATTTGTCTACTGGAATTAGGCCTCTTTTGGTCCTACAATTTGGTGTTTTTGATGACATCGCAAGAGTTTTTCTAAATTTGTTTTAAGTCAATTCTGATTTATGGTTTTCTAAGTCAAAGAAGTTGCCTTCCATTTGGCATAAAGTTCTTCACTTTATTTCTTTCTTTTAAGTGTGAGTTTTGATAATTTTTTGAACCAAAAAAATTCTTAAGTTCTCTTGATTTCAGAATTTGCATACTGGTTATTAACTTTTTAAGAATTTCACATGGCCTATTAGTACCGTGGCTCCCAAGTGGTTGCAGTATAGTAGTAACCATCCATCGACAAGGTAACCTTTTTCAACAGCACTATATGTATATTTTCTGCCTTGGAGATTGTATCTTTCCTGATTAGATACATCTGCTTTATGCTGTTAGAATCTTCTGTGTCACCCCCTGATTCAATGATGTAGAATACAAGCTAGAGTTTTAATTGCAGCCTGGGCATTAATGTTTTGTGGTTCCAGTCTCCATTATGGAGATCCCTTAGAGATAATTCATATTTCTGCTTGATTTTTATAGGCAGGACTCTTTAGTTGAATACTTAAATTGGTCTTTTATTTTCTGTTCACTCTTTGTTCTCAGATCCTGTCTCGCTGGTTCGTGATCATGATATTAAGCAGAAATTAGGGGAGCTCGGCATTTCTGTGCAAAGTTATAATGGAGAGTTGTTATATGAACCATGGGAAGTACATGGTGATGATGGACATGCTTTTACAACATTTGATGCATTTTGGGATAACTGCGTGCACATGCAAAATGAACCGGCTTCACAACTTCCTCCGTGGCGATTAGGTCTGTGTGCAGGTAAGCTTATCACTCTGCAAGATCATTAATCAGTTGTCTTTCAGAACCTTTCTTGTAATGATTTCTATAGCACCTTACTAATTGGTCAGTTGATCAACTTACTAATTGGTCTCTGTAGCACCTTTTTTTTTTGGAGAAAGGTATGTCACACTGGCCAGTTTGGATACACTGAAGAGAAGAGAAAATGATCGGTTGAAAAGGAAATAACTAAAAGAGGAAGAAGAAGGACCTGAGATTAGAGAAAATGCAAATTTAAATGTGGAAAGAAAATAGAGCTTTATGAACTCATTTCTACTATTTGCAGGATCAGTTGATGGGTGTTCAATTGATGAGCTGGGTCTAGAAGATGAATCAGAAAAGTCAAGTAATGCTTTGCTTGGAAGAGGATGGTCACCTGGTTGGAGCAATGCTGACAAAGCCTTAACAGAATTTGTAGAAAACCATTTGTGTGATTATTCAAAGGACAGGCTCAGGGTTGCAGGGAACTCCACATCGCTCTTATCCCCACATTTGCATTTTGGTGAATTAAGTGTGAGGAAAGTTTTCCATCTAGTACGTATGAAACATTTGCTATGGTCAAAGGAAGGGAACCATGATCAAGAAGAGAGTGCTAATCTATTCCTCAGGGCTATTGGCCTTAGAGAATACTCTCGCTATCTATGTTTCAACTTCCCATTTACTCATGAGAGGTCATTGCTAAGCACCTTAAAATTTTTCCCATGGCACGCTGATCAGTCACATTTTAAGGCTTGGCGACAGGGTCGAACTGGATATCCTTTAGTTGATGCGGGTATGAGAGAACTTTGGGCAACTGGATGGATCCACAACAGAATCAGAGTAATTGTTTCAAGTTTCTTTGTCAAGTTTCTACTTCTTCCATGGCAGTGGGGTATGAAGTATTTTTGGGATACCCTTTTGGATGCAGATTTGGAAAGTGATATTCTTGGTTGGCAGTATATATCTGGGAGCTTGCCGGATGGACATGAGCTTGAGCGCTTAGATAGCCCAGAGGTGAGAGCAGTATCTGAAACTTATGCGATGGTTACGTGTTCTTCCAACTGATTTGGTGATTTTCTTTCTTTGTGTTCGTATTTAGCATGATTTTTCACCAATTTTGTCAACTTTTACCTGGTTAGCTTCAAGTAAAGAATTCTCTTATCAGTTTTCTGGGAGTGACACCATTTCATTCTCAAGTGTACGTTTTTGCCTTAACATGTATACTGAAAATGTTTATTTAGTTTTCTGGGTGCTGCCTCTATCACCATCCAGTATAATTGATTCTGTTGAGATTATTGATTGATGGCACCCTACGGCAAGCTTGAAAAACTGATGCTTCAATTTTCCTTGTGTTCATTTCGGAATCTCTGAGCAGGTTCAAGGATTTAAATTTGATCCTGAGGGTGAATATGTGAGGCATTGGCTGCCTGAGCTAGCAAGAATGCCTGCTGAGTGGATCCATCATCCATGGGATGCACCTATTTCTGTGCTTAAAGCCTCAGGAGTGGAGTTGGGATTAAATTATCCAAAACCAATAGTTGATATAGATGTGGCAAGGGATCGTCTAATTGAAGCTATATTCACCATGAGAGGGAAGGAAGCAACTGCAAGAGCTACAAATTTTAATGGAACAGATGAAGTTGTCTTTGACAACTCTGAAACTAGTGAAATTGTAGGTAATCCAAAGGCTATCTTAAGGGAAAAGCTTCCTTGTCCTACTAGTTCATCTCATGATCAGAGGGTTCCATCCCTGCAAAATTCTAAGAATGTTATATTGAATAGAAAGAGACCAATGCCTGCTGAAGATAAACCTCCTCTGAGAGATAATGTACATAATTGTAATCATAATGGTGAGACCTCAAAAACAGATGATGACTTGCGCTCTACTGCTGAATCTTCTTCAACAAAAAAGCAGACCACCAGTAGCAGAACCTCATTTTCTGTTCCACAAGCTGTTTCCTTACCGTTGAAAGTCAAACCTTTTCCAGAGTGTGAATCTTCTGGTCTCAAGTTGCCAGTGGAAGAGGAGATTGACACTGAAGAGACATCAAGAGAAAACAGTTAGTAAAATTGCATGACTTCTTTGTCAAAAGGCATTTTTTTGTTCTTGCAGTTAAAATTAGTTACAATGATAATAGTATTTGTTCTGTGGCTCTCACTATTGATACATCTGATGTAAATACTTGAATCCTCGGCACTGAATGCATATAAAAGAACAAATGTCAGTTTTATGCATGTGCTACCATTGGTTGGTTTTTCTTTTTGGATTTTGCAACACGCGCACAGATAAAATTCCCAAAATTTCCTCTGATGGCTGTTTGTTCTATAGGATGGCTGTTATACTAAATGAGGCACATTGAGACATACTCTAATTCAATGATGAATAAGCTGAGTCCATTTCACTTTTCTTTGTACTCTTCATTTGTTTTCCAGTTAAACAATTTGTTTGTATCCAGCTGGGTTAGACATATTGTCATCATCAATGCTTCTAGGGAAAGTGAATATTTTTAATGACTAAACAATGAAAGTAAGAATTAGATTCCATGAAGGCATTACTGATAAGCAAGTTGAAGTAATGAAAAACATTCTCTTTAGCAAGTTCAGGTTGCTTTGTATCTACAACCTGTGATGATAACACAAACAAACAGGCCAGAGTGCGTCATTTGCACATACACAAGCATCTGACAGGACATACTGAGAGACTCCATATAAGTGCAATGAAAGGTCATGGTAAATTCCCCATAAATCCTTGTACTATATAAGAATGAGTTGTGGTCAAAGAGGGGTTTGAATTTTAACTGCATGGAAAGGGGTTTTCGGGACTATGAAATGTTGTGTAGGTTTTTTAAAGCTTTTGGTACAATTGAGGGTAGCATGTGTTTAGGTATATTTACCGAAATGCCTTCATTTTGGTACATTTAAAGCTTTGATTTATGGAGACATTTGGGTATATCTGGAATATAGAATTATTTTGCAACCATTTTTGCATTGAGTACAACTCATATAAGGTGTTGGTATAATTACTGAAATGGTGTTATTGATACATTTAATTGAAGTGTGGCTTTTGTTGTGCAATTAACACAAAGACGTATTAATACGTTGTGCAATTAATACGTTGCTATAACTAGCCGTTAGAGGGTATTCTTTTGTCTGAAACAACTTATGTCTCCTTTTGGACGATTTTCAATTGACATCTGTAGGGGCCTTTTGAGAATCGTAAAATTGTAAAAGTATTGATAAAGTAAAGTATACAAGGGTGTGCTGCAATTAGAATGTACTATTAGTAGTTTTGTCATATTTGATGACTATTTCTTTTTCGAATGTATTATTATTTGTCCAATGAAAATCCTCTTTAACCACAGGCACTAAACACCCGCATGATGCGCGGGCACTCCCCCCTAGTAAAGATATAAATGAAGAAGAAATTGTAAATTTAGCTGATAAATGTACTTTCAAATGAGGCATCAGTTAGTGATCTCTTTTGGTTTTTTTTATGCAGGAGCTGTAGGAGTCTGATGCCATAGAGCTTTGAAACCCTGCCAAACTTTCATGATCGTAGGAAAGCATTAATAAAATGTGGATGATGCTTGCTGAGTCACTGAAGATTTACTAATGTGGTATGACTTATACGAGTCTTCTTGTATGTATATGCATATCTCAAATCTACTGCTTGTCTCTTATTCAAGTACTGAAACGGAGAGAAATGGCATTGTAGAAGTTGACACAGTTTATGAATGACACGTTTTTTCTCAAAACTACGTAGTCTATCTTAAGTTTTGCTCATCAGACGTGCAAGAATTTTAGTCTTCACTACTTTTCAGCTATTCTCTTATAATTTGCACATGTATTGCCATACTTACAGTTTAGAACAGTAGTAATCCAGATGTTTATGTGCTGAAAACGTATGACTAAACTATTTACTGTTCTTAATGATGTATTTGTTCATGTTTGTACTGTTCAAGTCAACAAAAGCCAAAGTAGTGGTACTGTTAGAATATGCAATCATAAGTATGTAGATTTACAGGTTGATTTAAGCTAATACGCTCTGAGTTGGGGCTGAATCAGATGTCAACTACTTCAATAATCAATATCATGGGCTACGTAATTGCCCTGAACCCGTGAAACCAAGTAAAAGAGGTACTACTGTGCTGAATAATTAGATTTAACTGCCAATGTTTATTAGACCATCATTACATTCCAGTGTCTTTCTTTCTCTAGCATAAATGGTATTTCAGTTTATGCTAGAGAAAGCAGTTAGATAACATAAAATAATAGAAACTCTATCACAGATATCTCACGCATTATTAAAACATAGTAACGTTACAACGTATACAGTACAAAACCAGAAGAATTTGCTTTGATTTGTATACGTACGTGCTCTTTAATAGACATTTTTCAGGTGGAATAGTCTCAAGAACAATCGGCAGAAAAGCATTATTATGAACTATCTAGCTGTCTACTGGAATATTGCTGAGTACTACTAGTATTATCATCACCTACGAGGCTGCTTGCCGGCCAGAAGAAACAAATGAGCGGGGTAGAGTTTGATTCTTGTATTTCCTTTCTTTAGAATTGACACGTTTCCTAAATTTGTTTATATGTTCTTTCTCTGGGTTAATTTTATTTTTCACTTTTCAACTATATCCTAGCTCTTACTATGGTCCCTGAACTCTAAACTAGGATATTTTAGTTCCTAAACTTTACCCTGACTCCTACTTTGTTTCCTAAACTATAAACTAGGAAACCTTAGTCCCTAAACTTTATCCCGATTTCCCCTTTGTTCTCTAAACTCCTTTGTTATTTTCTAATTTCGGGATTTTTTTAGGTTATTGGTTAATCTAATTTTCCTTTTATGCTCTTGTAACATGCAACCCTGCCGCTCAAGTTGCTAATATTTCATTACTTTTGGGGATTCTGTTAACGATTGTACTTAAGTGGGATGTTTTACATAGTTTTGGGACTAAAGTGGAAATTGAAGCATAGTTGAATGGTGCAAAATGGAATTAACTCCTCTTCTCTACTGACTCCGCTTGAATCTTCAAGAAGGTATTCGTTTTATGGCTGAGTCTCATTGAGAACTTTCATAAAGTTTGGCCTAGAATAGAAGTAAGAAATCTCAAACTACAATATTGAGTCACCATACTCTATCATAGTGTTATATAATAACGAAATCTGATAGTTATCTAGAATAGAGTAAGTTATTCTGCTTGCTATTCTTTCATGAAATCATAAGTGTTTGTGATGGCAAGTTCTGATCTGTGTTGTTTCAAATTTGATACAAGGCTCCAACAAAAGCAAACGTCCTTGTATCACTTCAGAAAGTAATCGAAATGCAGAATGTAAGATGCAATTTATTTGGCTAATCATTCTGTTGGAAGCAGAAACAACTTCTTGCACATTACAAGTATAAACCATCTTCATGAATGCTATCATTTTCGTGTTTCTGTACCGATATTCTGTCGAATCAAGCAGCTACACAAGATATACATACTATGAATTCATTATGAAGTAGCTTTTCTTTCCGGACCATAATATGCATGGTTGGCAATCTGATTTGTAGCATATGTAAGAACAACATAGCTTAATCAGTCGTCATTTTCATCTTTATGTGGCTGTCTCTTGCATTGTATCTAATGTCGTCCGTACTCTCAACGCATATGTCGATTTGTAAAGAGCCAAAACTTCAGATAAAACCCCTTCCCTTCGTCGAAAAGTCAGCAAGAGAGGATTGAGGCACGAGACTCTACAGAAATCTTGATATATACCAGGTCTACACATAGCCTGTATCTAATATATATATATATATAGAAAAACCCATATCAGCCTCACTCTGAGACTCACAATTATGTGAGATTGTCCATAGCAAAACCTCTTCAACACTGGAAGGGCTAAAACTTTATGACAAAATCTTTTAAAGATTCAAGTTGTCTTCATCAGCTGCAGCTGCTTCTGATGTGGATTTTTTTCTTGTCTGTTAAGTAATGCTTCAAAAGTTTTGCTATTCATTCGTGGGACAGATCATTTTAGCTTTTCATTTGTTAGGGTCTGGTGTTTACTATCATCCTTGATAAAAAGTAGTGGACGGCATTGAAAACATGAAACAATAATATGTAAGGCAGGTAGGTGGATCATGCACTCGTACCAAAAAGAAAGAAAGATGATGATGAAAAATCGCACTAAATGTACTCTTCAAGCATGATCTTTTCTTAAATGTACATCCAAACAGCAATTACTGCAATTTGTTTTTAAAGTAAGAAGGAGAACCAGGAATCTACATATTTACTTATGAGTTACTCTTTTTTCCCCTCATATAATGCTAATTTAGTGACTATTGACGAGGGTTGAAAGTAGAACAGGAACTTCGTGCACCAAAACTGGACCTTATCAATTACAAAGAAGGAACAGAAGTGGCTAAATCATAGAAGGTTCTTGTTATTATTATTTTTTTTAAGAATTAATCACTATCATAGTTTAGTTGAATGCATAACACGTGTTAAATTCGAATTTATGCATTTAATGGTGATAATGTAAAAGCGTAAACTTAGATTCATGCATTTCATAAAAACGGTGAGTTTATAGAAGATTAATTCTTTTTTTTTTTTAAATTTCCTACACAGTTTTTGTTCTGCCTATTGTAATGTTGAAGCTCACATAGGAGTTAGAGATTTGGCAAGATTTCAAATTTTTTTAAATTTGTTTGAAATTTAAGGTGTAAAGTGCTATTGTATGTTTTAACCATCAAATCTTTATAAAATCTATTCAAGGAGAGAGAGAGTAAGAGAAATACATCAAGATTCAAAATTTTCGCTTCAAATGATCTGTCTCGACTTAACCTTCAATAGAATCCTAAGGGCTATTGATTGTTGAATTTATCCACAACAAAATCCCAATGGTTATTAATCAATATACATGGTAATTAAATAGGTATGGGATAGACGGGACAAAGACAAAATTCAAAACAAACAATTTCAAGTGAAAATTTTAAGTCACATATTTGTTATCGAGTTTTTTTTTTCAATAATGTCATTTTTTTTTTTTTTGAAAATGTACCCTTATTTAGAATTTTTTAGAACACTAGAGAAACGGAATCATAATGATTATTAGTAAATCAAATTTTTTTTTCTCTCAATTTTCAGCATGATGAAAAATAATTGTGAAGTGTGTTATGAACTGGAAAGCAATTACCCTAGGAAAAGTACATTTGTTGTAAGTCCAGTGCATGAATAAAGGACTTAAAACACCAGTCGACCAACTAGGCCTTGTGCCTTTATACGGGAGTGGTTGTCGCTGTTGTGGAGGGCCTTAATCAACCGCACATTTAATATTCAGATACTTCAATTCCATTTTACCATTTCTATCGCCACAAAATCTGTTCCTCATTTATCTGTTACATCTACCCTCTGTTCTGTCCCAGAGTTTGAATGTGTTACTTGCCTTAATTCCTTCCAAGACTATATGTTCATTTAGACTATAACAAATTAGTTGATGAATCTATTTACATCTCAGAACATTATTGAATGTGATATTTTACCCTACCGCACATTAGACACCATACATCTCCTGGTGATGAGTTTCTCCTCTCTAGATGAAGCCCCCTCTATGGTATGATCTATGGTATTTAAAAAAAAAAAAATCAAGATAAATCGAGACAATGAATCACGATTCTAGAATTATATTACAGGGTCCGTTTAACATATGCTTATTGGGCATTCGTTAAGTTGTCAAAATGTACTTTTAGAAATGTAGATTAATTAAGAAAATTATATAAATACTACGAAAAGTAATAATGTTAGTGTGTGTACATGTGTGTGTGTATATATATATGGAATATGTGAAGCGGAATTTAGGTGTGTTAAGAAATATCCATTAACACCCATTGGGAATACAAATCTTATATAAATATCTACTGTTACTAATTTTCCAATTCTCCTATCATTCATTGTCCTTGATTTAGTTTAAAAAGAAAAAGGAAAGATTATCCACAATTAAACACAATTAGCTGATAAGAAGGATATTGGATTAATTCAAAAAAGTAATGAATCCGTTTTTCAATATTTAAGATACCAAAAAATAGAACCCTAATCCTAATCCTAAGCAAATCTTGTTTCCCTTCCAAAGCAAAACGCTACATCAAAATCCAATTCAAACTGAAACCGTTACTTTATCCGTGCTACACTGCTACGTGGCCTTCTTCCATTGGCGGCAGGACCCAGAAATGGAATATTCCCTCCACAAAATTCCCTTTTCCCTCGACAACTCTTCAACTGTATAACAACCTCAAAGTACCCTAACCTTGACAAAACCGAAGCCTAAGTTCAGATAAAAGAAGTGAAGAAAAAAAGAAAAAGACTGCAGACAGTAATAAAAAGAGAAAAACACTAATGAGCGAGGCATTGAACAGAGACTACAGAGTGAGCGAGGAGCTAGGAAAGGGAAGATTTGGGGTGGTTTTCAAGGCTTATTCGTCAAATTCTGGGGAGCCCTTTGCTGTAAAATCCATTGATAAGAGACTAATAGCTGATGATTCTGTGGATAGACAATGCCTGTACAACGAAGCTAAGGTTATGCAGTTGTTGTCACCTAATCCACATGTTTTAAGGATTTTCCATGTTTACGAGGATGAGTGTTTCCTGCACATTGTCCTTGAGCTTTGCAATGGTTCTGATCTTTACCAAAGGATTGCTGCAAGGACAGTTTTTTCTGAAGCTGAAGCCATCGTTGTTATGGTATGTTGCTGTTATCACATTATTCTTGAGGGTTATTTTTTGGATGGAAAATGTATTTTGTTTAAAATTGTCTAAGTTGATAGAAGAATTGTTGTTATTAGGATTTGGTTGTTTTAAACCATTCTGGTCCATGTAGTTTTAGATGAAGTCACGAGGGCAAAAAGTTCTCTTCGTTCTAGTTTTTGTGCATAAGCTATTTTCATGGAGCTGATTTTATTTTTCCCACTAGGTTGATTGGTATTTTTTGGATTTGCACTTTAACTTTGATTTTACTGAGTGGAAAAGGTTTCGTCAAAACCAAGAATTACACTTTCCTCTGCAGATCTTTGGAAACTAAAAATACCTTTCTGCAGGCACTTTGTCTTGTTTTCCTCTGTTTTTTGTACGGGAAATCTCCCAAAGCGCCATTCTTTTTCCCTTTCCTCCCAGGGCAAGTTTTGAAAAACCAAGAATTTTACTTTGAGTTTCTTTACTTTATCATCTCTGAATTTTGGTCTGGAGGGTATGACACTAAATGCATGAAAAACAAGCATAAAATATCGTTTCCTTGATAATTTCAGCAATTGATAATATCGTTTCCTTGATAATTTCAGCAATTGGACTCGAAAATCTCTGATTGTCTCTTACTCAATGAATTAGAGGATTAATAATTTGTTCAGTCGATCATTTGTTAAAAATGGCATAAAATACCTGTGACCTAATGTGCAATGTTGAATATTAACGCTTCCATTGTTTAACAATGTCTTCTTTATTACTTCTTCTTCTTTGGCTTTAAATGAGGTCATATAGCATTGTTTCTGGATCTGATTTTGCACGGAGCATGACCGTTCACATAGGAACAAATTTTTTTCTCCTTTATTTTGTCAATGCTACCCAAACAACGTCAACTATGCTAATGCTGTTCATTTTACTATTTTCATCAGCAAACTTATATTTTCATGGCCATTTTCTAATCATCTACAGAGACCATTGATGGAGACAATAGCACATTGTCACCACTTAGGGATAGTCCATCGCGACATCAAGCCTGATAATGTACTATTTAATGACTGGAATGAACTTAAGCTAGCTGATTTTGGCTCAGCAGAATTCATTGATGATGGACAACTAATATCTGGAGTAGTGGGGACTCCTTATTATGTGGCCCCTGAGGTAGTAGCTGGTAGACATTATGATGAAAAGGTCGATGTGTGGAGTGCTGGTGTGATCTTGTACATAATGCTGGCTGGATTTCCACCATTCTATGGTGATTCAGCCCCAGAGATTTTTGAGGCTGTGCTCAGGGCAAATGTGAGGTTTCCTACGAGGGTGTTCAATTCACTGTCTCCAGAAGTCAAGGATTTGCTTAGAAGAATGCTTAGTAAAGATGTCATCAGAAGATTTTCCGCTGAGCAAGTACTCAGTAAGTATAGATGTGCTGATTTTAATCTGAATGTTCTCGTTTAATTCATGTAGGAAATATGATCTTGTTCTATGTACATAATTTTTATTTCACCTCCAGTCATGAACTTGTCAATGGAACATCTTCTAGTATCTTTTGATAATGTTGTTTCTTGTTATATATCTCAGCAACACTGCATCTTAGTTTTGTTTCTTAATTGTGGGATGGATGGAAGAGGGGGGGGAGCAGATGAAAGATTGATGCTGTAGTCTATAGACACAATAGTGATCATCTCTTCTGTTCCTTGAATATGGATCTTGACACTGACCTTTTCTATTGATAACAGTTACTATTTTTCTACAATAATCTATGCATAATTTGTTGTCCTTTTAAGCAGAGGAAAAGAGAGACTATAACATTACGGAGTTTTAGTATGAGTTTAAACATTCTGAGGTTGGATTTTTGAGTGTTCCAAAAATGAACTTAACAGGCCTTTCAGATCAACTTAAATTACCATGTCAATTCTTACTCCTTATCTTGATATCTCTGAAATGCAAAGATTAATTTATGGTCTAGAAATTCCATATATTATAAACTTTTGGTATAAATTAACTGGAATTTCGATCCTCTGATCTGTTACTTCAGGGCATCCATGGATGACAGGGGAAGGAGGTGGTGAAATCAGACCCGTGGCTGTTGAAGAAGCTAGACCAGTGGCTGTTATAAGTTGAAACTTCTATATCCCCCGACCTATGTATAATCTCAAACTGTACAGGCACCTCGTTGTCTAAATTCCCATCTACCTGTCTACTTATTAGGTCTGCTTTCTTCTATAAATGTTGCAAAAAGCATAGGCTTAATATTTTGGAGCTCGAGTTAAAGAGCCGAAGCCTAGATGAGACTTGATAAATCTTGATCTTTGCAGTGTGAATGTTGAATGATGATCAGAGCTCGTAAAGGATTATCTGAATTTGTTCACAAAAGTTCATCAATCAGTTATATCTACTTATGTTGTTTTCATCCTCTACTTGGGATTTTACTCTTCTTGCCAATCAATTTTTATATCCTTCTACAAGCCATGCTGCATCAACTCTCTCGAGTTAGGAATAACAAAGTTGACATGGTGATTTGAACGGTAATACACTTCCAAACCAATTGACTTTGTTTTAATATGTGACTAACCTTTCCTTGCTTAACCTAGTTTTGGCTAGGCCACCAGGCGTTACAAAAACAATGGTAGGAGATTTATCTTTAAAGCTATAACAAGAATCAAGGATTAACTTTCTCTAGAGATTTATCTTTAAATAATTCAACACACAGTGGAGGATGGAGATTTTTTTTATTAAGTCTGTCTTCTTTAGTGGCGGTCAGTACAATTTCTCATGATTCTGGTCCAGGCCTCCTCGATGCGGCTAATTCCTTAGAATATTTGTATTTAAAAAAAACAACCGTCAAATACACCTCTGACATGGGTCTTTCTCATTCTATAGCGGCGGTGAGTCAGCACGGCCGCATAATTAAATATTCCACCGAAATCTTGTCTGCAAAAAATTCAGTGGTGCAGAGGTGTCAGCGCGGACGTGCTGACTGGGCACGTCCGCGGCTGAAAAAGCTGACTCCAAGTCTGCGCATGTGTCACACGGGGACGTGCTGACTGGGCACGTCCCCGGGAGACACAAAATCAGTGCTGGTCTGTTGTGTCAGACGCGGACGTGCCCAGTCAACCCGTCCGCGTCTGACACATGCTAAAAAAAATAGTTTTAAGATGAATGCTTATTGCTTCAGAGTGGAATGTCATGATGAGGCTTCTATATACTTTTCCAGGGCCACTTTGCACTTGTTCTGGAGATCACTTATATCATATATAAATATATATATATATATATATACATATATATATATTTAGTGCAACATTTTGGGAAAGTAATTAATATTCGTATTCGATCATTTTATTTGGGCTGTACAGAAGTTTGTTAATGGTCAATGATATTCTTCGCATTTTAAAAAGAGTTAAATGACATAAACACTCACTCCATAGATTTTTCTAATTTTTTAAATGCCAAAATACGCTCAAGGTATAATTTAACGATAACTTTGTGTTACTTTTGTAGAAATCTTTTTTTAATTTTAAAAAAAAACTCTAACATTGTTTAATAAATCCTAAAGTAATACACAATTTCAAAAAAATAATAATAATAATAATAATAATAATAAAGTTTAGTACTTTACTGAAGAACTACTAAACAATTGATCATGGTTGTTAAGATTCTCTTCTATCACTAGTTGCATTATAATCCAAGACTAATTTAAGAGTAGGAAAAATTAAGTGATAAAATAAAGAAATTTACTACCATTAAATACATAGATGGGCACTTTTTTGTCTCCAAAAATATTTTGCAGCTTTTTTGTTGTCATTTTATTAAGAACAAAAAAAGAAAGAAAGGAAGGATGAAGTGTCTGAGCATTCTTCGAAATGCTTACATCATTTGCATTGATATTGATCACAGTTTCATAGCATTTGCATCCGTCTGACACATGCGCAGAGTTGAGTCACTTTGGTCAGCCGCGGACGTGCACAGTCAGCACGTCCGCGTCTGACACATGAGCAGACAGCTATTTCAGCTGCGGACGTGCCCAATCAGCACGTCCGCACTGACACCCTCTGCACCACTGAATTTTTTGCAGACAAGATTTAGGTGGAATATTTAATTATGCGGCCGTGCTGAATCAGCACGGCAGCTATACAATGAGAAACACCCATGTCAGAGGTGTATTTGATGGTTGTTTTTTTTAAATACAAATATTCTAAGGAATTAGCCCCTGGATGCCTGATCACTAATGATATAGTGCAGAGAGAAAATATGGCAGAGAAGAAGCACCCCTTTATCTGCTGATTTAGTTATTCTTGTTATTCTTTTTCTTGATGATAGCTTGCTATGTTCTTGTTTGACAGTAAGCACCAAAATAGTTCTTTTTTTCATATATATTTTTCTATATATATGCTAATTAATTACAATTATCAACCATCAAAACCATACTAAATGACTAGGATTTGAACATTAAGCATCAGATTTTTCCTAAAATAAATAATCATTCTTCTTGACTTGGAGTTTGCTGTGGAGGACTAAAGTATAATCTCTCATTTACATTCCTTCATCATGCCACCCAATCTATCCCTTCCTCTATTTGGCATAAAATTTATTTGTGAAAAATATATGTATTATAATCATTCTTTATTTATTTGGTAATACATATATTTTTAACTCATGTTAAAGTACATTTATGTCCACTAATTAAATATATGTGTAGGTTTTCAAAATATCACTAAATAAAATTTTGGTAGAGGTTTCCAATTTTTTCCCTTATTGTTAACTATAAATCTTAATTTGATATTTCAATAATTATTATGTATTTCAAACCACTTTTATTATCAGGTAAGTATATTTTGTATGTGCCATGTAGATATAATCAGAATTGCAAGGGAAGCTCATTAATTAATTTTAAAACATTTAAGAGCCATGATACAATATTTTAAAAGTTTTATTTTTCGTAGTCAATTCTTCGCATATGTCTTGCTTTTACTCTAATTTGGTTAATTCTTTTTTCGTATAGATATTCTACTTTTGTTTTAGGGGCCTAAAAATTTAACTAATTTATATATGGACATAGTGCTATGTTAAATACAAAAGGACCTTAATAGAAAATTTATTTTTATTTGTGTATAATCAGTATCTCTTTAATTTTTATGGCATTAACCATAATTAAAATCCCTTTATCAATAAATAATATAAGTATGGACAGCAATGCATTTTGATTTTTTAGTTTCGATCTTTATTCCGGCAATTCTTTTTCCTTTTTACTTTGTACAGCTTCAAACCGAAATGGGAATATCTTGTCAAAGCAACCAAAAAATGAGAATTGCAATTTGCAATGTTTTAATGCAGTTTGAGATAAGAAACTCACGTTCGCAAACTCCCTATTTGTCCAATAAGCAACAATATCCTTGGAAAATTCCTCACAACTTCTCTAACTATTCCGATCATAACCACTGCTACTCACTTTTGCCAACTTAACTGATCCATATATATGGATCCCATGGATGAATTAATTTCTCCGATAATATCATCTACTACTGTTTATCTATTATTTCGACTTCATCAATATTCTCTTTTTTTTTTTTTTTTTTTAGGTGTGTCCCGCAGGGAGTAGACCCCGCAGACTATTCACCACCCTCAGCAACTTGCTGGCAGCAAGGTTCGAACCAGGGACCTGAGACTCCATCTTCAGCAACCTCAACCACCAGACCAAGCCCCTGAGGGCGACTTCATCAATATTCTCGTAATTTCAAATTGTTCAATAAGATTATTGTACAAGGTGAATGTGGATTTCCATCAGAAAAGTTATGGCATGCTTTCTTTAGATGGATGTGTCCGTGTGCATAAATAAGCATTCTATTCTTTGTCCTTTTATTTTTGTTTCTATAAATTTTTCACAATTTTTTAAATACTTTTATTCTTTTTCAGAGCTATCTAATTCTTTGTTTATGTGCGTGATTAGAGTTAAATATTGATCAATTTAAAGTGTTTAACCGTAGTTCTGACTTCGTGAATTTGATGAATGTGACGAGACTTCTTTACGTAATAAGCAAAAGACTTTTTATTTTACCCCCAAAAAAAAAGGGAAAAATCATAAATTGGCATAAAGAATGACAAAATATCATCCAAAAAATTGAAAAATTCAATTCAAATGTCATAGAAGGGAATATTGACATAGTATATGATTAGATGATTTGCCAAAATAAATTGGATACAAATAATGAATGTAAAATAAATGATTTAGTGGCCACATGTAGCACTATTATTAAAGTAGGATATTATGGTTGTTCATAATAACAAAAAAGAATGTTAAACAATATAGTAATCATATGGTGTTAAATAGCGTAATAGAATCACATATACAGCACGTGAAATATTACTAGTTGTACAAATAGCAAATATTAAGGAAATATCATCATACCTGTGCAATGATTAAATGACCTTTGCCCTCGTTGCATCATATTACAAAATTTTCTATGGTTAAAAAGCCCAATTTTTTTACTGGTTCCTTGAAATGAAATTTCACTATTAACAAATGATACCAAACATGACAAGAGCAGAAGTAGAAGACAGAAGGTAAGGAAGAAAAAAAATTTTTCAAAAAAAAAAAAAGGGAAAGGAAGAAAACTACTGTAGGCTATAATTAATTAAACACAAAAGAGTCTTCTTTTATAAGAGCATCTATTTTTGTTCACAACTCACACTTACTATGGCAACTCGAATTTAGGCATTGAACTATTCTTATTATACAAGAGAGTAATACAGCTATAGGAGATTAGGAAAAAAGAAAAGGAAAAAGAAACTTATCCATATTTCATCTTAAGATGAGCACTAAGGCTAGAGAGCTTAGAAATCTGAATCTTAAGCTCTGAAGATACAAGCACGAAACCATGCTTAAAATAATTTATTTCAAAATGGAACTGTTCTATTATCACTCGCTCCTTGCAGTCTCGTATCAGTTGCAGTCTCATTTTCTTCATCAATCTCTCCAGAGATCTCTTCCAAAGATTTTCCTTTAGACTCAGGCACCAAGAATGTGAACATCATTCCGAGGGCGTTAACACAGCCCAAAACAATAAGGGAGTTCTTCACACCAATACCAGGAGGATAGCCAGCATCAGTCTTTTTTGGATCAGTGGATTGAGCAGCATACAGAAATCCGAATGCTCCGACAATAGCTCCTGCCTTCCCAGCAGCTGCCGATATACCGTGGCACGTGGACCTTAACCTTGCTGGGAAAATTTCTGCTGGAACAACAAATGTTGTTGCATTAGGACCGAAATTTGCAAAGAAGAAGGTCAGTGAGTACATGATCACAAAGCCAATCCTGTTGTCCCTGTGAGTCCAGTGATTATAAGGAAGAGCTAGGGCAAACATAAACACAGTCATAAAGAAAAATCCCATCAATTGAATGGCAAATCGTCCTATTT